AACCCGGACGAGCCCATCCCGACCCCAGATTTTGTTCGCCCAACGACGAAGGATCGGGAGCTCCGGCATCTGGTGCAAGAATTGCCCAACCAAGCTGTGTTTCCATCGAAGAGAGCCCTCCTCACGAACACTCTGAGGCATCCGAAGACCCCCCTTATAAACCTCAGGCTTGATGTAGGTCAGCCGATTAGCTTCCGAGATGCCAAATAGGTCTGCCCAGGGCTTGAGAGGAACCCCCTGAGGCGACGCCGCCGTTGACGATGACGCCATCAGAAACAGTGAAGGAAAACAAAGAGAGAATAGCGACCGGCGCAGATGCCGGCACTGCAGGGCCGAACCCTAGCCGGAAATCGAACCCCGCCGAAGAATTGGGAGAGCTTTCTCACTCAAGAATTTTCTCAGAAAAATAACATTCAATGATAAATGAATATTAGGGTTAGAATTTATTATATTTTTTTAAGATTGAATTTTTAAAGTGAAATTCTTTTGTGAGATAGATTTTAAATTTTATTAATGATTAAGGTTTAAATTGAATAGTGATTTTTACTCAAATTTGAGCCAACTGTGTAAAAGTGTGTTTTTTTATATAAAATTAAAGTTGGAGAAAAAAATTTAGAATACAAAAGTGAAAATAAATACATATTTGTTTAGAGACGACAATGGATCGGGTTTCTCTAAACCTAAAACCAATCTAATGGTATTGAAAAAAATTGATAAAATAGCCATTGAGTTTTAGAAGTGAAAACTCAATCCCAAAGATGCGTGGATGCCTACGGGTGCACGGATACTCAAAGGTTCGTGAACATAACAATACTTTATTTCTTTGGATACACACATCTAAATGTTATCGAAATTTTCACGATAAATATATCTAGGGTGGCTGATCGGTTTTTGGTTAGCGGCTAACCATCGGTGTTAACCAATAACCGTCAGTTAGCAGCTAACCAAAAACCAACGGTTATTTAGGTCGGTCGGTGCACTGTGAGGGGAGAGGATTTTCGATTAGTCGAGTAACCACTAGTGATTAATCATGGTTGACCGGCTAACCGAAACTAACCAACCTCCACTCACAAATCCAAAACGACGTTGTTCCCTGATCCAAACAACGACCCCGTTAGGTCGTTCCCCAATCCAAAAACGACACTATTCCCCATCACCAAAAAAGACCCCGTCCAGCCAACCCTAATTCTTCCTTCTTCGTCCTCCTCCTCCAAACCCCAGCCACCCTTCAATATCGAATTCGCCTCCGCCCTCCAAACCCCAGCCACCCTCCACCAAACTTCCCAGTTTCGGCTTCCCCTCCCTGCCTCCCTTCGTCGACCCTCGTACATCATCCATATTTTAGGTTTATATTGTTATAAAAACTAATAACATCTTTAAAGTACTTGTCTTGTTTCGGTTAGACAACTGACGTCATTTAACTTTAATGGCGTTTGTTGAGTGGAAATCGAACTAGGTTTTGGCAGAACTCAACCCGTCAAATTGAAAAACAAGTTAAATTTGCATCAGACCGAATCCATCAACACTAACTTTTACTCATTTTGGTCAATTCAAGCCGGATTGAATACCGATGAGATCAAAGTTCAATTCACACCCCTACGCCTTGTTGTTTAATTGGTTTTCATGATGAAAATAGAGAGATGGTGATTGGAGAGACGAGGGGCGGGTTAGGGTTTTGCCTTGGAGTTAGTTGCTTTTTTTTAAAGATTTCCCGCTTAAAGTGCATTAGTACGGTGGGACTTACTTAATTATGATTAGTGATTAAGCAAAAAATAAAAGAAGGAATAACTGGCATTAAAAAACAAATGAAAGGGTAAGATTCACGTGGTCACAAAGTAGTAGACGTGTCAGCAAAGCATAAAATTATTAAACAAATGAAACCTGGTCAGCCAAGTCCAATTGCTCTGGTTCACAGGCTTGTTATTATGATTAACAATTTCAATAAGAATAAAAATAATGATGCAAATGGGAGAAGATTTTTCTTTTGTTTTCCACTTTAGGGCACCACAATTGTCCTTACTTTTTTAGATAAATATATTGTGCGATGACGACCCAGATGACGAACATTGCAAATTTCTGATTATATAATAATTCCATTTTAATCTTAACAAAAATATAAAAATATATGTAAGTTGTACTCTATATTATCTTTAAATAAGACCACCTGCCCTCTTGTATAATCAAATAGTTTAACAAATACATGACAACATCAGTCGATCCAAACCAACTAAAGAATATCAGAATTTGTTTAACCTGGACGGATTCTGGTGGGTTTCTTCTTCTAGCTTCTTCATCATTCATGTGTGATGTGACAATGAAAGTAATTAGTATTTAATCAAGGATTAATCAATACTATAATCAAAATATCTTCGTCTCCTTTTGTTTGAGTTTAAGATTCAAAAAGAGCACTAGAGGATGTTTCCTCGTACACTCCTTTCCTTTATCTCGCAGGTTCTAAGTTTTTTTAAAACAGAAAAAGAGGGCACGTAATTGTAGGTACTAAATCCAGACTTTATTATTCACTTGAATCACTTACAAATTTTATTATATAAATAAACAATAATTGCGAAATGGTATAGGAGGATTATCAAAAAAGTAATTAAGATATATGGTATTTTGTGTTTATTGCTCTTTTCCTTTCTCTCTCAGTCCCGCTTTTATCGTTGCTAATTGCAAACCAACCACAATCCACCACTTTTTCCAATTCTTCTCCAGTTCCAATCGACCCGATCATATGCCCTGCTTTTCAACACATTTGACCATGGAACAACCACACTCACGACTTCTTCGATCCTTTTCTCCAGCTCAGGTCGACCCGAACTTCTGTCATTCTCTTCACTATCGTCGACTGTAGAGCAACCACGTTATTCCACTCGCACAAATCTAGGACTAATCGAGTAAAAGTCTCACTAGACTGAAAATTTGGACTATTAAATTGTTACATTTCAAGGACTACCCCTATCCTAGTTTTTAGATTTGAACTTTTTCTCCGCCCTCTCTCTTACTTTAATTTGAACGCTTTTCTCTGCCCTCTCTCTTCTTCTCGGTTCCACTTTCCTTGTTTTTCCAGGGGCTGCCGCCGGCTCCTTTTGGTGACCGGCGGCAGCTCAAGCCCTCCATTACTTTTTTTCCCCCTTCCTTTTCTTTGTGCTCATGCTAATCCTGGCCTTGTTCTAGGTGATTTTCCTTCGGATTTCCAGCTTTTCCCTGCCGTTGTGGCCTTCGGCTTCCTTTCCAGTCGAGCTTTGTCTCTTCTTTTCCCGTCGAGCTTTGTCTCTTCCTTCGGTTCTTGGTACTCCTGTTCAAGGTTTGCTCGTTGTAGGATCCGGAGTTTGCAGTTTGGTGGGTGCCTATTCCAGATCTGGATGGTGGTGATTTTTCCAGATTGGTGGTCTCATCCTTTGATGCAACCATTCTCTTCTTTCCCTTTCCGACCTCCACTTTGTGTTCGTGTTGCGGGGTGAGTCGTCGGATCGTGGAGGGTCGGGTCTTCTCCGGTGGTTGTGGTTGGTAATCGGTGTTCTCCGTGGAGATTTGTGGCTCCTTTGGGATCTTCTGCTCTGCTTCAAACATGATTTCTCTGCCTCAGCTTCCTCTGCCTCTGTCAGCTTGGAGCAATCCGTTCAAATCCTTTTCCACCGCCATGCAATCTTGTTTCTAGGATTCACTGTGATGGATGCCGTTGAGTTATCCCCATTCCCCAGGAGGCGGCATATGGTTGATGTAATCACTAGCCATGGATTTCGAGTTGATCGGACAAGCTGATTTCGCTCTTGTTGCATTCTAAGTGGTTGGTTGCAAGAGAGATTTCTGATGTACTGGTTTTTTCAAGGGTTCGATTCTGTTGGATGGTTGCTGTCAAACTGTGTTGTGCTCTCTGTTCTTGCTTTTGCTTTTCGTGGTTTGATTGTAACCGAGTTCTCTTTTCCTTCTTCCTGTTGAACCAGAATGTTGGTTTGTTGTCTCTTTGTATCTGAACGGTTAAAATGCAATAAAGACTCTCCTTTGTCAAAAAAAAAAAAAAAAGGACTACCCCTACATTGGTAAATGAAGCCTTTGATGACCAAAAAAGTGAGTCATCTATGCTTATTATTATTATTATATATATGGTGTCCATGAGTAAAAATCAGAGGTTAAATCACCTCTACTGCAGCCTTGTGGGGCAAACTCTGAAGTTTGTACATAAATGGCAACTCCTTCTTTTTACTAAAGAAGAGCCCCAAGAGCAAGCAATCATGTCAATAGTAAAAACAAAGTAAAGCTGTTGCGCCTGTAAATGTACGAGTTCTCTTCCGAATCTGAATTTTGTTTTCTCTAGCTGCTGCTATGCCTTGTGAAGTTGTGATGTTTCCATTCTTTTGGGGTTCTCTCTATCATTTTTTACCTTTTAACTTTTCTTTTTTTTTTGTTGTTGTTAATATTGACAAGTCTCTCTCACCATAATAGCCCCAATGTCTGACTGGCTTTTGCCCTCCAAAGAGAACTGATTCAAAGGACACTCCAGATTGTGACTATTCATCTCACCATCTGCTCATATTTCCAAGACAACATCTCCTCTCTTCCTACAGAAGTTAAACTCAAAGTGGCTCAGAGGGTAAAAACAATAATGGGTTCTTTCCCCTATTAGCTAGGTTTTGAGAAATGCCCAAAAGATTAAATTTTTTTTTTTAATTCCAATCCTCTCTCTCTTATTGACTGATTTGGGGATCTTGCCTTGCATTTGCAACTTGTGGGATTACTCAATTAGGGAAGCCAGAAAGATCACCTCAAAACAAGGTTGTTTGTTACTCGATTAGGTGGGCTAAAGAAAAACAGACTATATGTAGGGCATTAAATGGGGAATTATGTAAAAGTAAATAGTAACAGCCAACAGTTTTGAGTCAGAAACCCTGAATTGGGATTTACCTTTTTACCATAACAACAACAATAACATATTATAACAACCATATATATTTATGGTCTCCGAAGTAAAAAATTACTCACAAAAAGGTAAAGAAACCTCTTTTTCCCCCCTCGACCCTTCTGCCTTTGTTAGCTAGATTTGGCCTGATATAGGTACCAAAACCTTCACTCCCCCACCCTATTTAATTAAATTAACTAATTACAAGCTTCAGGCAGTGGCAGTAGATGCTCGAGTTATTAATCATAGTTTAATACTTCTACTAAAATTGACAATTAAGTAAATCGCATAAAAATGGCGGAGTTAATTAACTACGAGGGTCTCAAGAGGGAGTAATGGAACCCATTTTTGTGCAGCCAGTTGGGGGATGGAGACGGCGGCTTGGGGAATCCTGATGATGCTGCGGCGGCGGCGGCACTTCCATACATCTGCTGCTGATGTGGCGGCGGAGCTGGTGGTTGGGGAGGCGGCGCTCTTGTAGCTCCTCCTCCTGATAATTGCCATTGCTGATCGTAGTTATAATTATGATGATTATTATCGCTTGGAGATAACGAGAGGTCACTCCCAATTCTGCATCCGCCTCCTGCTCCTGTGTTACTGCTGTTTGCAAACTGAATTTACACCACTAACCCAATTAGAAAGTCATACTACAAATTTTCTCTTAAAATATACACCATAAATTCTAGGGATGGCAATGTGTCGGGTCGGGGACGGATAGTGCATATTCATTACCCTACCCAAAGTAGTTCGGGTTTTTCCCATGTCCATACCCACATAAGAAACGGGTAGAAAATCCAAACCATGCCCATACCCGTTCGGGTTTCGGGTATCCACGGTTATCCATGGGTAATAGTTTTTCTTTATAACTCCAATCAATAAGTTAATATTTACACGTATTCTCACTTTACGTAAGACGAAAAGTACGACAATAATTCACTAGAATGAAGAAAATTAATTAAAACAACACAATTTCATAAAAAAAAAATTATATTTATATGCTAAATATAAAATATGTTAGAGAAAAATATTGATTATTTCTAGACAAAATACACATGCATGTGTATAATCGGGCGGGTTCGGGTTGGATAGTGAGAAAACCATGCCCACCCATTACCCGCAGTATTAGGGTTCGAATTTTAACCGTACCCACTAAAAGTCTTTCGGATTCGGGTTTTACCCTATCCGATTAGGTCGGATTCGGACGGATATTCACGGTTACGGATATTTTTGCCATCCCTAATAAATTCACATTTTTTTTAGTATTATTTGTTTTGCCCAGAAGCCAAAAATGTGAGCTGATGAGGTTGCTTTTCAAGGAATTTCAGATTGTAAAATTGTATCGAAAAAATTGAACTAATTAACCATATTTAGGTGAACAAAAAATGATATTATTGGTACCTGGAAATGATGGGAAGGCGGGAGGAGGTGGTTAGGGTAACGATGAAGAGATCCAGGAGAGCGGATGTGGGTTTGACTAAGCAGCTGCATTGCTTCCATCTCGCTGCTTCTCTGCTGCTCCTCATTGTTCTGTACATTACAACGAAACCCGGGGAAGACAACTAATGCTGTTAACTCTTTCTTGTCAAGTAAAAATCACTAGCAATTATAAAAAAAAAGATACAAACCTGATGAGGCCTTAATCCGCGATTCCGCCAGCTGGGATCGAACGCGGCATTGGCATCCATTCCGGCAGAAGAAGCAGCAGAACCATGACGAGGCCTCGTCTGGTGATCGAGATTGTTGGATTCTTGAGAGGAATTACTACCCAGACTCAGATCGAGATTGTGATCGGTAGCAGCGCTCATACTGCCAGCTGCGGGTTTTTGTGAATTAGTAGCGATAAAATCACTACAATGTAGCTTAATTATGCGATCAATTTGAGTAATGGAAATGTGATTTGAAGGGGAAAAGTGCACCAGAAGGAGAGTTGCTGCTGCTGTTGCTGCTGTTGTTGTTGTTGATGGTGGTGATGGAGGAAGTTGTGTTGAGTTCATCATCATCATAAATGCTTGGATCAAAGTTTGTCACCGCATCCTTGCCATTGCACTTAATTGCTGCTTTATCATAAGCCCTGTAGAAATGGAAAATCAATAAATAAAAAAAGGAGAGGATCTGAATATATTGTGAAAAGATGGCAAGGAAAATTGGCCATGTTAGTTACCTACCTGGCAGCTTCAATTTCAGTATCAAACAAACCCAAGTAAACATACCTGTGGGGGGAATCAAAAGGAAAAATGTGTCTTTGAGTAACAGACAATAATAAATCCTGACATGGGAGAACAAAATTAAAAAGGAGAAGAAGGTGAAGGGTACTTTTTGCCGAGGAATTGGCCCATCCGGGCTTCCCAGCGGCCACACTTGTGCAAAGTGACGCCTCTATATTTGGAACTGCCCCTTGGGAAACCGCTGCTCTGTCGCCTTAGCACATGCACAAACTCCTCCTTCGTCAAGTTGCTCATCTATTTTATATATACAACAACAACAACAACAAAAAAAGCAATAGTGCTTAGTCTTTCTATATATTCCAAGAGGAAGAAGAAGATGGATCGATTGTGGGAGCAACTGTTAACGATAAGGTGTAACATATACAAAATTAGCTATGCATACACAGATAATATACCTGTTTGAGGTCGTCTTGATAATCTTGAATGGTGAAGTTAATATCAGCCTCCACACCTCTGAACTTGATCGCCGCTCTATCATATGCACTGCAACACACCCACAACAAACAAAAGAAGAGAAGCCCACCCAAATCATCAATCATTCAAACACCCATCTGTCTGTCTGTCTGTATTCATTCATTAGCTCATAATCAGATGTTATGTATGCAGAAGAAGAAGAAGAATGTTAGCAGGTATGCAGACAAAACGACCACTAGAGAGAGATAGAGAGAGAGAGAGAGAAAGAGAGAAGAGAACTCACCGAGCAGCTGCATGTGCTGTGTCAAATCCCCCTACACACAACACCATAATAACAACACCACCCTCATTCCATCAGCAACCAACTAGAAACCCATCACAATTCCCCCCTTCCAGATTTAACCATACAGCAAAAAACCCAGAAAAAGAAAAAAGAACTTTACCCAGGTAGACTTGCTTCCCGCAATCCCTGCGCAATCACAGAGAGAGAGAGAGAGAGAGGAAGAGGGGTAGTTGGTTTTATTGATTTATCCACAGTATAAAAAAAACAAATTCCGGGGGGAGAAAAAAGGAAACAAAAGTGTTAAAAATAATTGTTTTGGGGGAACGGACCAAATGTGGGATTCCCAGCGGCCGGTTCTCCGGTAGTAGGTGACTCCTCGGTACTGCGAGCTCCTCGACCGCGGGCCCCGCCGGCTCTTCTTCATCGGCTGCGCCACCGCCACCGCCGATTCCGATTGGCAGAACTTCACTCCTACCCAGTGAGCCCGGGGAAACCCTCCCGCGGCGGCGCCGACGCTCCCTCCTCCTCCTCCTTCGCCAACCAAGGTAGAAGATGGGCCCACAATTTCCGTACCCTCCATCGGGAAAAACTGCCGGGTCACTGGCCCAGGGAGGCCCTCGATGCTGCTCATCATCATCTCCAGATCCTCTTCTTCTTCTTCCCCAACTAATCCTTCCTCCTCCGCCGCCGCCATGGAGAACCCGAATATCCTGCTGCTCATGCTCCGCGACGACGACATCATTCTCCCTCCGCCCACCATGGGTTCTTCTTCCGATCCGTCTTCCGTGGGCTGGGCGGCGGAGGAGCTGGAATTCGACACGGATCCGACCCTTTTCCCCTTGTCGTCGGTTTGGGAATTACTGGAGCACCCTTCTTCCGATGCCTCTTCCGGCACCGCCGCGGTTCTTCTCTGAACAGGGGAGTCGTTCAAGTCCCACATTTCTACTCCACTGAAAAAAAAAATGGGAAGAAGATGAAGGTTTTGGGGGAAAGGAGAAGGGATTAAGGGAAGGGAAGAAGGCTGTAGTTTTTTTGTTTGTTTTGGGTGGGGGAGGGGGGGGATTGATATGAGAAAATGATACTAAAACTGGAACTGGGAATCAATAGGCAGCAGCAGGCAAATACAGAAACTTTTTCTCCGGTTTTATTTTATTGAATTAAACAAATAATTATTAATTGAATAGAAGAATAATTTTCGTTGAGAGGGAGAGTGACTGAGAGAGAAAATGAAACGAGAAGAGGGAGACGCAAACCAACAGATACAGACAGGAGGTGGAAGAGGCTTTTCAGTTTTCGTGATTCATTGATTACCCCCCAACAAATATATTAGTACCGACGAGCACAAACCCCTTCCCAAAATAAAATACAAAAATAAACAAAAACCTACGAGATAGATAGATTGAGAACGAAATGCGCATGTTTTCAATGGAACGAAGCTTTGCGGAGGGAGATATATTTTGATGAAGTCGTGCTCTATTCTTGATGAATATCGGTAGCGACAAGTCCGAGAAGAGGCAATTACGGGTAGATAGTTTGAGGAAAAATGGAAGCGCCCAATGGAGGGGAGGATTAAAGTAAATACTGACGTCGGTTCGTTCACGAACGGAGGGGGTTTAGACGTGGTCATCCAGGATCACGCGGGGCGCTTCCTGTTGGCTGCAGCAAAGAAAATCAGAGGAGTACCCAACCAGGAATTGAATGAAGCTCTGGCGGCTGAACTTGGCTTACAACTGGTAAGACAACATGAGCTTGGAGTCCCGATCCTAGAGCTGGATTGTTTAACAGTGGTGAAGTCAATAAAGGAAACACAAACTCAACATACAGAGCTGGGGACGATGTGTCAAAGTATAAGACGGCTGTTGGATTTGATCCCGGAAGGGAGGATAGAACATGTTAGCCGGAAGGCGAATGAAGTTGCGTATTATAGCCCATTCAGATACGAGATGGAATGTGGCGGAGGTTTGGTTCGATCGCTCAGCAATTTTTCTGGTCGATCAGTTGAAACTTGATGATGTAGTTGTGTCCACAAATCAATAAAGCTAAGCGCAGATTTCAATTAAAAAAAAACGCAATAGAAGATAGACTTGCGCATAGTAGATTGACAACAATAATTAACATTTAAGCTTCCATGTAATTTAGTGAGGTTTATGAGTTGAGTAATTGTTGTTGAGTCTCTTTATCTTGTCTGCTTCTTTAATCAAATTTGACGGTAGAATGGTGTTATTGTATACTTATGTTGGATTCAGTTGATTATGTAGTGATATCTATGTTAAATTGTATTTTATTTCATGATAAAAAAATAAAATAAAAACAAACAAATGTAGGAAAAAAAACATAACAAAAATGTGCAATTGGAAAAAAAAAGGAGGAGGTCCTCTGTTGGTTAGGTTATTGATCGGTTATTTTGGTCTAACATTGTCAAATCACTTGCTTAACAATTATCTGGTTAACTGATCATACGGTTAACTAGAATTTAAATTATTTTTTCCATTAAAATTATTTATATTTAATCAATAATTTTTTTAAATATTTGAATTAACTAGAATTTATTCTATTTTTACTGTATTAATGTTATACATTGTACCAATGATTATTTATTCATTTTTAGTATTGAAGTTGAGCTAATTCTATATTTTTTTCATTTTTTTTTAAATGGTGAAAAGGTTTTAAGATTTTTTTTTTTTTTGAAATTTTATAAGAAAAACATAACATTAAGTGAATTTCATATTTTAAGCTTAACTTTAGGAAATGAAAATTTTGTTTCGCCTAGGTTTCGAACCAAAACTTCATTTTGGAAGACTATATTTTATAGGGTGCGCCTATGGTGACATACATGTCACCGTAACTTGCACTTTTCGGTCGACCTTAATTAGGATTAGGTCGACCTAATATGTTTTTTAAGTGTAAAAACAGTTTCATGGTGCATACTTTGGAGAATCATATCTTACAATTGGCTCGATGGAAATTAGAGATTAATAGCTTATTTAGAAGCTGGAGTGTCCCTCTACACATTGAAGTGCTTGGGAGCTCGATAGGAAGTCCAGAATACCGTTTTTGAACCTGATCAAAAGGCTATGCCAAAACTGGGAACCTGTCTGAAAATGGCCAAGTCTGGGAAAGTGTTTGTGAAGCCTGCTTTGGAGCTCAATTCGAGAAGCATGGATGAGATTCAAGTCCAGGGGCCTTTACCACATGAAAGTAGGTATGTTTGTCTATAAATTCAAGGCATTGGATGAAATATTGGATATCTGGAAGGCTTCAAACAAAAGGCTCGAAGTTGCTACGAAGTAAGCTGCCTTCTAGCACAAGACTGAAACGGCAGATTAGGTCGACCTAATCCTATATAAGGTCGAACTTAAAGTGCAAGTTATGGTGACATGCATGTCACCGTAGCAAAGTCCTATATTATATAGTATAGTAACTATTCGGATCAATAGGGCGGGTTAGGGTTGGGCCAATTGGGTTACAAGTTAGTCGGGTCGTGGGTCAATCGGGTTGTGGGTTAATCAGATTCCGGTTAGTCGAATTGAGGGTTAGTCGCGTTACTAGTTCAGTCAAGTTGCATGTTAATCCGGTTACAAGTCAATTGGGTTGCGGACTAATCAGATTACAGGTTGGGTGGGTTACAAGTCATTGACTTTTAGTCAACTCGAATTGCAGGCGAGGTGTTGGTGAACTTCATCGAACGAGTTGATAGGGTCGGGTTATGTCTTGATACCTATAGTTGGCACCATCACAAGGTCGTTGTTGGTTTATGTGGAAGCTTGGGCTGAAATTTCTCTGCTGGATTGCTCTTGTTCTTTTATGACAACTTCAAAAATGCTTCCCCTCCATTTAATTTTGTTTAACGGACAAATCGCATAGATCTTCTAGTAACTATCCCTATTGATCCCCCAATTTGATTCAATTGCTTGTCCAAATAACTCTAGAGTGTGCTTGACCTTAAAAGCACAAAATAATACAAAAGGCATAAAATTGCACTAAAACACATCCTAAATCTATTATAACTATTCAACTTTGTTATTTTATTCTTTGTTGTATGTATTGAATTAATAAAATAATAGGTGTTGTAGTATTTTGCCAATAAATTGATAGTACATCCAATAAATTTTTGAATATAAATATTAATGCTTTGTTAATGCTTTAAATGTATAAATTTCGAAAAGTAGACCCTCTCCAGTTCTTTTTTTTTTATGGGAAATCTGGTTCATTTCATTAGGAGAAAAAACTTAGGGCCCAAGGCCCAAATCAGCATCAATCATACAACAAAGGGAAATGGGAGGGTTATCAACCCAAACCACTTGCTGATCCCATCCCAACGCAATGTGAGCCAATGAGTCCAGGCCAGCCAAAAAGCCAGTAGTATTTACTATTTAAGTCTCTGAAAATACAATCGGTTAAAACCTATATTTCGGAACCGTACCGGAGTCTGAACCGAAAAAGTCCGTGGTTTAGGATTAAGTAGTTAACCATTACAAAACCTTTGGTGAACCTTTGACATAACCGTTCATGATATATAACATATAAGACTTGTATATTACAACAATTTATGAATGAAGTTATCACTGACCACAAACAATTCCAAATTCATATCATCACCAAAATATCTTATACATCATTCAAACTTTCTCACAAAAAAAAATCATAATTTTTTTAGTACAAATTAAAAATTATTGTGTCAGTCGGTAGTGGACAACGTAAATTCGACAACAAGGTTGGAAAATGAGAAGAGGAATAATAATTATGATTTGATGGTCTTAGTTTATGTTAAAGTATTTTTTTTCAATTTTTTTTGTTAAAATAATGAACCAGTGGACCAGTTAAACCGTGGTGGTTCATCTGGTTTTATATTGAACCATGAAAAACCATTTAATCCATCAATAACCGTCCAAGCAATGAACCGGACTGCTATCATAACTGGTTTGACGGTTCTACTGGCTCGACCGTTGATCCGATTCGGTTCTTATAACAATGGTTAAAAGCAAACTGAGTAAATTTAGACAGAATTAGAATGAGAACTTGGAGAGGCAAACGGAGAACCTCTGCCCAGCCTCATGAGGCTTGTGCGGAGAAAAAATTCCGGTTCAAAACAAGTCGGGTCGAACCGGCCCCTTGGATCACAAAATCACTCCACTGATCAGAAGTTTCAACTTCAAATGGATCCCAGCAGAATCATCATTCACTAACTGCTGACAATTGCATGAAGCTCATCATTTAGACAGAAATAAGTGAGAGCCTAACCACATTACAAAAATTATACAGAGCGGCTCATTTGATATACTACAAAACCTGAACCGTAATAAAATTGTCCATTGGTGTTTTGGATACATGCCAGTGCTTCTAATACTTCCCGAGCTCAAGGAGGGAACGATGATGATCCATGCCTTCATTCAACTAATTACTCACCAGTTCTGACCCTATGAACATGGTTACACACAGCACAGCACAAACCGAAGTCCTTAGGCAAGGCACAGCACAGCATACCTTTGCAAGAAGAGAGAGATTCGACGACCAACATTTTCTTCGAAGCATCCTCCTTTCCCAATCTTTCTTACCATGTTTTTGTTACTTCTCCAAGTGTGACTGCTGGTGTATACGGGATCTTGCATCTGTGGCTGAATGATTGCTGCTGAATTTAAAGGTCGAGGTTCTGACCCCTAAGAATGCAAAGCAACAAAACAAATAGACCTATCAATCTGACATGGAATTAGATCCTCTATCAACAGTTCAAAGAGTAAATTAAAAGTTCCTGCAATTTATCGCATCTATGCTCGCATTTCATATGTCAAGCTTAATCGAGTGAGAAGCAAACTTCTTTGAGGCCTTAAGCCAAAATTGTCATTATATTGGAAGAGCAGCAAGAATGGGTTAATTTACTCACATGAAACTCGAGTTTATATACAAAGGGCGCCCATGTCAAGTGGTACATTTTCAGATCCACATGAAGGCAGAGATTCAGCATGTCCTCCTTTCTTGTTTTGTTTCTTGTCCTTTCTAACCCTTCCGCAACCAGTTTCAATTGCTTGGTTCCTGCCGAGTAAAATTAGTTCAGAGACCGAGAAAATATACTCCATTTAGAAAGTAAGCAACATTTTCCGAAAGACCAATCCATCTAAGATCCCAACTTCAGACACATTGTTAGTTAAGCCGAAAAGCATACCGCATAATCATAGAAGAGGATCTCCCCTTAGCGACTCCACAACAAGACTTGTACTTCTTTTTAGATCCACATGGACAGACCTTGTTTCTTGGTATCTTCTGCGAAAACAACAGTAGAAGAAGTCCCATGCATATGAAACAATACAGCCCGCTAGATTTCCAAAGATGCACTGAACTCTGAACATAACCCGAATTAGGGGAAAATCAAAACCCTTTTGATCTCCTTTTCCCCTTGTTTCAGTAAATACCTTATCATCTGTCTTTGAGCTAGTATCTTTAGTGCTTTCTTTGACAGGACTATCAGATAGCTCGTGCTTGCGGGTCTTCTTTGATATCTCGTCCTGGCTTTGGTCACATCTTCCATCCACATTATCTCCTAGATTTTCTTAGTAATCAAAGTGAAAGAAAACCCAGGATATGAGAACAGTGCAGAAGCTAGGGTAAGCAATGCTGATGACTGAAAATAGAAAGCTAAACACAGATTAAAACTTAACAGAATTCTCGTCCAAAACAAATATATAATCAACAAAACCAGATTTCCCGCACCACACATTCTTAAGACTTCAGAACTAAAGTTGTCTTAATAGTTTATATGTAGGTGGCAATTACATTACACCCATCTGGAAAGAACATTTTGATTCTCCAGAATGAAAGATCGAAGCAGATTTCTTGTCAGTTTATGGAAATAGAATATGTTCTTTCTAGTATTCCTGAGCATATTCATAGAAATTATTGAACGGCCATTACCAGAAAAACTGTGTGCTTGACATGGAAGGGAACCATTGTCTACTGAGTAGTTTTCTGATTCTCGTTCTGCTATTAGATACTCTATTGCAGCATCAACATCACCATGTACTTGCAATAAGACCTAGCTTAACAAGGACAAAAAAAACACACAAGAACTCATCAATAAAGACATCCTACAAGCAAATCAGTTATGAACAATGCAACAAGTAGCTGCACGACATTTGTCGAACAACTGCGATGATAGGGTGAAAGTCGAGGATTACTTTGCTAATTGCTAACCTGTTCAACTTTTTCAATATTTTCACATCCACTTCCTGCCATTACTACTTTGACGGATCCTGAATCAGCTTTGTTGCCCAGAACTAAGCCGTTGGACTTGCTTGAAGCAGCTTTCACTTGAGAAAGAGTAGCATCAGCCTTACACAAAATGGAAATTATCAGGTTGTGCAGATGAGTTGACTGCTGAACTGAATGAATTCAAAAGTGTGAAAGATCTATGAAAAACCTTTATAACAATTGGCCTAGCAGGTCCATCACACAGGTCTTCCTTGGAACGTAAACTATTGTAATGTTCTTCATCATGATAGGATCTGGAAAAATATTACTAATATATATGAAGATACTCCTTGATATACATTACTGACATCCAATATACATGCCCTCAAATAAAGCAACCCCTCCAGACATCAGAGATAAATTAATCCCTTCTAACTTTGCCATCATGCACGATGGTGACTACGCCCCTCGATGCGTTGAATAAACTACTCAAAATCGGACTCTACAAACAAAAGCGAGATGAATTCATAAAAACAATGAGATTCTGCACTACTTACAAATGAATCATACGAGCTCCACGCTGATCGAAATTCTGAATATACCAACGTGGTGACATGTTCTGTTCAAATGAGCAGAATGAAATTATGTAAGTCGGAGCAATTAGATGAGGTTCTCATGCATAAACTCACTGGTAGACGTGCATGATACATCATCTTCAAACTAACACATCCTACCGGTAAAGGAGTTATATCGTTGCTATCAGAAACATGTTCTTGTTTAAGTATGATGTTATTCCGATTTTGGAATCCCATTTGATTAAGGTAGGTGTCCTTAAAGGGTCCTCATTTCCCCCAAGAGAACGAAACATGATTTTGAATTTTTTATTTCCAACAAAGACTATTCGTCACGCATTTTGTGCACTGCTGATCTTACAACACACTGCACACTACATGTTAATAGCTGGAATGCTACCTGATAAGAATCTATAAGGAAGAACACAGCGGCTTAAGCATTCTAGAGCAACCTGGGCACAACACTGCCTCACTTTGCCTAGCTTACTGTTGCAGTTGGAAGCACAAACAAAAGAAGTTCTATGACTTCTATAAATAGATTAAATGGATTCAAGATGATACACAAGAAAGTTGGAATAAGCCCATTGAAAGATTAGGGTTGGTTCCTAGATATTGGATCAGAGAGATTGAGTAAACACTGCATTTATCCAATTCACCAGTTTCGAAGGAGTTAACAAGCACAACTTAAAAAGGACCCTACCCGGTGAATGCATATGTTGCTATTTGTAACAAGGGAAGCTGCCTGCAACTCCATGTGTCCAGCCCATGTGCCATCCTTTTCCATTTGTTGGCAGTATTCATCAAAGGGCACATCATCCTCAAGAAAAGGCTCAAACAATTCGCGATTTTCCTGATAAAAAACCCCCCCAAGGATCATTCCAATCAGAGGCACTCAGTATGTCGAGCTAGCAAAAGCCTTTTCGAAAAGTTAGCCAAGAGTGACGACACTACACTGGACATAAGATTAACTCAGTAAAACTCGCTTCACTACATGCTTACCCGTATATACTGGACTATCATACTACGATACTTCCCATGTTCCTCCTCGTTTCCATCTAACTGATCTGCCAGACTCCTGTAAACTACCAAGAGTAAGCCACTACAGGACACCCAGACGAAAACCGGAAAAAACGCCTCAATCTCCATCCCTATAACCAATGATCATGTTATCTCCAACACATAGCTGAACAGACAAATCGACAGGACGGAAACAAACCTGAAGAAACAGTTGCCATCAGCAGTTACTTGAATGATTTTTAGGCCCAACCCATCCAGCTGGCCACGAAACATAGTCAGATCAGCTTGTTTTCCTTGTTGCTTCACCTACAACCCCAACGTAACAATAGTTGCTTTAACTCACATGAAACGTACAGATTAATTGGAATAATCTGCTTGGAAAACCTCCTCTTAATAAATCATAATCAACAGGCAGTTTGAAACATCAACGAGCTAAAACAAGCCAATCAACAATTTGCGATGGTGCTGCAAAAGACGAAAACTTGCTCCGCGAGTTTTGACCGTCATGCTATCATATAATTGCTATTGGATAGAGCGATCGAGCTTGGCTGCGGAAAGGCGAAACCTCGCGAGAGTTGTATATAGTAGGGGGGGTCGTTACCTTAGGAGCTTTTTTGGGCTTCGATTTCTGATGTTTGGTCTTCACCATTGCTTTCGGAAAAAGACGTTGTTTACCAACTGTTCCGAACGGCGGTACTCCTCCGGCGAGATCGTCGCTCGCCGCTCGGAAGTGCAAGCGCGAGAGAACGAGGCGGAAGGGAAGCCGGGAAATTTTGCCGCCTCGTCTGGCAATTTGTAGAAGCCCAACAAACATCAAGGACCCCAACGGCGTGTTTCTAGCCAATTGTGAACTGAACACTGAAGAGCGTTGAGCGGGTACATGGGCTCATGGGGGCCTGCTCTATTTGGGCTTTTCGAAACACACAATAAAGTGGAGCCGCCCTCCGCAGCGGGCTTGTTTCATTTCTTGAACCAAATGTGTCATTTACCCTTTTTTTTATTTTAGGAAGTAGGCCAAGCCACAAATTTTATTTTTTTAACGAGACAAGACAATTGTTAGAAAGATCTACTATCCACAAGTTCTCATCTCACTTAAAAGTCACCCTACAAAATCAAAATGGTATAACACAAGGCTTTATATGCCACTCTATATGCAACTTAGTTGGTAGTCCTTGAAATCACTATAAAATCTATACAATGAGATAAGGGCTAAGCTAGAATACTACAATCACAAAGAAGGGGGTCCTTCAATGGAATCCTCCACCACACTTGGCTGAGATAACGGATGGCCACTTCTGCATTGCCTTCAAGGATAACACGAGACAATTTTCTTAAGGTCGCAAATGAGATGATGTTCCTAAATGCAAGGAGTTCTAAAAGGTACGGGTCAAACTATTGTCATGCATATGCGAAAATTTGTGTTCGTTAAGAAAATATGAAGCATGTTTGATATTGTTTCTGAGAACGCTCATAATCCGAAATGACCCGGAATCCGACCCGGAACCGAATGGGTTGGGTCAATATTTGACCCAAAATAAGCCAACCAAACATTACCCGACCCGTAACCGAAGTTCCCAACCCGAAATTACCCAACCCGGCCTGATTGTCAGGTCTAATTAAAATGCTATTAATTAGCCAAATCTTTTGTAATGCATCAAAATATTAGTCATTTGTACGTTATCGTTAATATTTTTGTAACTCTTTCTTAATTAAAATACTAAAAAAATTCAATATTGACATTTATGTGTCTCATCCAAATCAGTATCATGTTGGCAAGTCAATATTACTAACAAAATTACTAACTGAAAAGTTAATATTTGACTAATTCTTAGTATTTCAATAGATTTGAATAATATAAAAGAATTTGAAAAATGTTTAGATAAAAAATAGACATCACCCTAAAATAAAATACAATGTAACAAACAAAATGATAAATTATCATATTTAAAAACAATAGTCAACATTTTGATGTTAATGTTTGAAACAAATAGATAAGATTAACAACTTAATGTTCATATTTAAATTCGACAAAAGTTTTTCTTTTTGTTAATTCCACCTCGTTTTTTAGAAACAAAAAATTGATCGTATCAGTGGATCACTTTTTCTCGATTTTGACCACCTTTATTGTTTTGAATATCGGCTTATACTGCTGGTCTTCCACGCAGGTTTTTTCCAACACCAGTTATGGTTATACCAGCTGGCATACCAGCAGACAACCATACTTAACATACATTAACAACATAGTTTTTGTTAATCGAGAAATGTCAAGAGAGAAACAACCATTGGACGCCCTTTTAGCGTCCCATTTTCTATCTAAAAAAAGAGAAACGCACAACCCATGATCAACTAAACGATGGGGGAACCAAATTAGTGTCTAACTTGAATTAAAAGTCCACCATTAAGTAGCTTCAATGCCTTCCGAATCACAAAGGAGCTTGTGAGCGATTTTTTAAACAGTATATAGGGCAATTAAAGGCCCTTTGTCGCCAATTAATGAGAGTTTAAATGATGATATGAACACTTGTAAGGCTGTACCCATTCCGGACCTGCTCGTTGTCATTCCTACATGTAACTAAATCAGTCAAAAGAAGGTGGCCGTGGACCAAAGACCGCCATAATGAGGTATATGAAGAATGATAGGAACATCATAGCTTCCTTTCCCAGCTCCCACCCATAAAATGTTGGAAATTTGGTCGAAGAACCAGGTAATATGGGCTAGACCGGTTGGACCAACCAAGACCACGTTGAAATTTGGTGGCATGCAAATTGTTTTGGAATTGTGTTCATTTAAATTTGAAAGCCACCATTCCATGTAATGTTTGCCCCATTGGATAGTTTGCTCCACGTTGCCTTGGCTTGCCATGCATGGCAACTGTTCATGCAATTTAATAAGGCAATGTAACGCTTCATGAAATAAAATGGAGGTTTAGTTTGATAATGGCTACGGTTGGGAGACTTTGCTCCATGAAGAGATGCGTCTTCTCAGGAGGCAAATTGTATGGTTCCTGCAACCGGCAAGCCAATCGAATTAAACAAACAGAACCTTTCCTCATGGCAACAATTCATTTGAAATGAATAGACATGTTGCTTGGCCAAAAGCCAACCGATCAGGATGAAGGGTTGTAATCTTTCGATGCCTTCCATTGTCACCTATAAATAGATTGGATCGGCTGGTGGGAGATGAGACACCATAATTCATTCTTTCTTGCTACTAAATACTTCTAAGTATGCTTTAGTTTCTTAAACCTAGATTCTAAAGTGGTGATAGTTTTATCCTACGAAGGAATTTCCTGTAACCCTAGGTTTGTTGAGGGTGGAAATATTCTTTACGGAAAGTGAACTTTGTTCGACTCTATCATAATCTTAGTCACCCGGTCTCCGGCTATCGTACGTATACCCTTGTCGCTAAAAGTTCTAACAAAATTGTCGCTAAAAGTTCTAACAAAATGAAACATCAAGCTTCCTTGCGGAAGTCAGGAAGAAAGAGTATGCTGAGAATTTAGGTGAAGAATGAAATGCAGAAAGAGAGCTTCTGCGCACCATAGTGACGCAGTGCAAAACAAAACTCTCGATCAGCACTGGCTAAGAGCCACAGAATTCATCGTTTTTACGACCCTGCAGCTGCTGAACTGTGAACGTGTTGCAATTAGACAGCAGAAAACCAGAGGGCTAACCACAGGGTGCTAAAGTGAAGCCAGATGTAAAAGAACTAGACGAATTGCGAGCAAGAGTTACAAAACTTGGCATTTCTCACATTACACAATTGTAATATGCAAATTGCAACACATTTCATACAGATGTTGCTAGTTGTGACATTCGGTTAAGAATTGAGAAAAAAGAATCCGCGGGAATCACATAAGAAATCTGAATGCCTCAATTCTTTTCTGGAATAAATACCAATAAGTAGTACTGCTTGGCTTACTGGTTTACTGTTGACATGAAACTTTATATGTACCCAAAGTTAACAATCCACACTTCTGGGATGTGACAAATGCTCGTTCAGCCATGCAGTAAGCAAATAGAGGCACAATTAACAATTACTGAGCGCCACCAACAGTTTTTTCTTTTCCTGGGTAACAGCAAAGACATAACATTCCGCAGCTGCAAACTGACAATCAACAAATGACCAGAAGTAAAACTAGAAGCAACGAGATTCCTGCTACACTAGTGGAGGATATATCTTTGCTTGCTGGCGAACCCTCTTCTTGTACTCAGTAGGGTCCTGCAACAGAACCAACTAGGGTGTAAACACAAAGGAAAGCTAGCCCACCAGCTGGAGATGGTACAAAGGTTTATCATAAGAAAAACCTTGGTTTAACTCGAGGGAAAATGTTTAGAGACCTGAATGAAGAGATGATAGCCTTCAGTTTGTGCAGGGTCAGCAGGGTTAGGGGCGTCCAGCAAATCCTGGATCCCAACTAGAATTTGCTTCACTGTAATAGCTGGTCTCCACCCCTACATTAACACATGTCAGGGGATTTGAGAACAGAGACTTATGTTATTCTAGGTTATATAGATCAAAAAACAAGATGGCTGAGCTGCAACAATGGACAACGCAAACCAAAGAAACTTACACTGTCCTCATTAAGGATGGATAAACAGACAGTTCCTGATGGGTAAACATTAGGGTGGAAGAAACCTTGAGGAAATTTGCACTTCGGTGGCTTGCTAGGATAATCTTCACTGAAGTTGAGAGTGAGTGGGAAATATCCACCCTCCCAGTCAGTCTACAGTAGGATAAAAAAAAGTGAGTCCAAGACCCAACTCAGCTACATTAATATGAAACAATCAAATGCACCTACAACCTAACATAACTAACAGAACACCATACAGACAGAGACTACTAATACAAGCAGCTAAATGTGCAGGACAGAAAAGCGACTTGCCTAGTTTAAAGTTTAAACCAACAGATTAAAAAGAAGAAAAACAATCTTTCACGACTTCGACAGCCCAGCTGCTAAAATTCAAACAATGCTGCGACGAAAGTAAATATTGTTTATCTCGTCCATTCAAAACTTCAGTTCGGTTTGTCACTGGTGCAAGTTCCACCAGCAATACCATTTACCAACCACAAAACAATTAACAAAGGGTATAACAAGCCCAAGTAAATATCCGATAAGGCCCTGATGAACACAAAGCTTGTATGAAAGAAATTAGAAAATAGCTCTGCTAACTAGTGAAGCAAGTGTCCAATAAGCCGTCAATCATTCTCAAGCAGTATTACCCCCGATCACAAGTAGTCTTATCCACTTTATAATTGAAGTATGTCATGTTACTCCTAGAGACAGTAACCACTAGCTCAATGAGTGGAAAAAGAACCTTAAACTTAATAGGGCATAGTGTCAAAAAGCTGTTACATGCCAACAATTACACACAGATTCAGCAGGAAGTTCTGAATCCAATGTTCCAGTTCACCAGAGCAATTCGAAACAAGAACAAGCAGCCCCTGATAGCATGTGGAAGTGGAAGATAGCGCCAATGGAACAAAACACAGTCCAAATTTACAGAGATGATTTGAGAAGCAATTCTAATAAATTAGGCATTTAAACAGAGAAAAAAGACGAAACCGAAACTTACCCCAGCCTTCCCAGGGATAGTGCAATGCCACACCATCAAATTCACAGTTCCGTCCTGCAGAGTTTCTGGCTTCGCAACAAAACCCTAAAAAATTCACAAGCTAAAAGAACTTCAATTCTCATATTGCAATCCACACCATAAAAGTCCAGATACATGACATAAAGTCATTAACCACCCTGGAAGACCGAATCCTCCATTAACCATTCAACATGATACTGAAAAAAATTGAGAACAGCA